GAGGGGCACCGACAGAGCTGGAGGGGGCAGGGGCTGCGGGTCGGGAGTGAGGGGCACCGGCAGAGCTGGGGGGAGCAGCGTAACTCTGTACAGGGAAACACCCCACCCCAGAGGTGGCTGCATGTTGGCCCCGGGACAGGGAAGGGGGAACTGGCCGGGTTCTCCTTCCTTCGCTGGCTCCTCTCCCTAGCGACTTTCCCAGCTTCCCCCGCCCCGTCCGCCTCGGCAACCGTAACCATGGCGATGCCAGGGAACTGGGACCAAGTACTGCAGGGGGATACAGTTGTCGTGGCAACAAGGGGCATCGCTACAGTACATGGAGCTCTGACCCACCAGCCCCCGCACCCCCCTCTCAGAGCCGGAGAGAGAACCCAGGAGTCCTGGCTCCCAGCCCCCTAACCAGTAGGCCGCACTCCCCACCGTATCTCCCAGCGGGGGAGGCTGCGTCTCGAAGCTCCGGCTGAGAAGAGGAGAGAAGGGACGTTTCAAATGTGCCTAACAGAGGTTTCTTATCAATTATTCAGAGCCGCCAATGACTCGGCCTTGTTCTCAGCCCAGCCGAGCCCGGCTTTCAGCTGGCAGAAGAGCGATATTTCAGCACCACCCCAGAGGTGGCTGCATCTCAGCGCCGGGCGAGGGGTCCCTGTGTAGCCAGCCGCCCCGCCCCAGAGGTGGGCGCATCTCAGCGCCGGGCGAGGGGTCCTCACGTAACCAGCCGCCCCGCCCCAGAGGTGGCCGCGTCTCAGCACCTCTCCCACCCTCCCGTGCCAGTTCCTGCAGCAAATTACTATTAAGGGCCTTTAATCAGCTAACTGGGACAGGTGGAGGGTCCCAGAGGGGCACGTATCTAGGGCTGAGGTGGGGGGAGTTGCAGGTCTGCATTCAGGTCTTGGATGAGAGACCAGCACCCACTGCTCCAGGGCGGCGCTAGGGGGCGCTGTGGGGCAGGGAGTGGGGCGGGGGCAGCAGGGGGCGCTCTCCCCTGGCAGGCGGGGCTGGCCCCAGGGTGGCGCTAGGGGAGCGCTGGGGGGCAGGGAACGGGGCGGGGGCAGCAGGGGGCGCTCTCCCCTGGCAGGCGGGGCTGGCCCCAGGGTGGCGCTAGGGGAGCGCTGGGGGGCAGGGAACGGGGCGGGGGCAGCAGGGGGCGCTCTCCCCTGGCAGGCGGGGCTGGCCCCAGGGTGGCGC